CCCCACTCCATTCCAGGCCGCTGGCTGTCCCCACTCCATTCCAGGCCACTGGCTGTCCCCACTCCTTGGCCAACTCTGGAGAGAAGTGACAGCTGGCAGTAGAGGAGGACAAAAAGCTCATGATCCAGATGCCAGTCACTTTCTTCAGCAGAAAGTTGCCGGCAGCAATGTTGTGTAAATTTGATAAGGCTATATGGAGGGAAGGAGCCCAGGGTAGCAGAAGCCCAGAATGTGATTGTAGCTGTGTTTCTCGCAGCCCACTAAAAGTTATTTTAAAGCTTGGCTTTGTGCACCTTTCTGACAGCTGAACAAGATTGTTTGGCAGTGCTAGAGGAATGGATTCAAATTCCATTTGAGAGCTATGTGTTTCAATTGCATTTATTGAAGAGATTCCCACAGAAGTCTGTTTATTGATGTTAAAACCACAAATGTTAAAAACTGTGAGCAGTGTCAACACTGCAGGAAAAGCAGCAAACTCCACATTAGGTACTCCCTACTCTATTCCTGCCAATGAAAGGAAGTGGATATCACATTTATCATCCCCCGTTTCTGATATTTAGGCAAAGAATTGGAAGACAAAACCTTGATGGTATTCAAGGAATTGTTTGACTGTGCAAAATCAGGTGTGAGATACAGTCTAGTCTGGAAATCAATTATTTTTAGTCAACATTGTAATTTTCACTTTATTCTGTTCCTTCCTTTGAAGCCAATCTGCTGGTGCTTTTTGAACTGATAATGTTCAATTGTTAAGGCCAAAGGACCTGTACAAAGTTTGGAAATACTTTAAAGAATGAGTTGCACATGGTGGCGTAGTGGTTAGCATTGCTGCCTCACAGTGCCAGAGACCCACGTTCGATTCCAGCCTTAAGTGACTGTCTGTGTGGAGTTTGCACATTCTCCCCGTGTCTGCGTGGGTTTTCTCCAGGTGCTTTGGTTTCATCCCACAGTCCAAAGATGTGCAGGTTAGGAGGAGTGGCCATGTTAAATTACCCCATAGTGTCCAGGGGTGTGCTGGCTAGGTGGATTAGCCTTGGGAAATGCAGGGCTACAGGGATAAGGTAGGAGGGTACGTCTGGGTGGGATGCTCTCTGGAGAGTTGGTGTGGACTCATTGGGCCAAATGGCTGCTTCCACACTGTAGGGATTCTATGAATACACCACCTACTCCGATATTGCTTGGGTGAAATTCACATCTTAGAATAAATTTTAATAACGTGCCTTCATTCCTTGTCCACACACAACAACATCTGATTCTCTTTTCCCCTTAGAAGTACAGTTTCACACATGCATACAAAGATCATTTTGTACAATTGGAATTACAAAATACGAATCCTAATCCTTTGAGGGATTGTAAAATCTTGACTTAGCTTTTTCTGAATGCAATCATTGGGATACAATTAGAATGAGATAAAACATTTATCAGTTACGATTTTTTTTCCTGTTTGAAAATAGTCGTGTAATAGTAAACAACCCAGTGTCATCATGCTGGTTAGATTTTATTTTGCAAAGTGTCACCTCTTAGAAGTTCAGGAGTTTGAAAATCTCTTGTTAGGGAGGCGTGCACATCTGTAATTGGTGTAGAAATACTGTCTGATGATAAAACACAATCTTCTTGTAACATTTTAAATCCTGGCATATTCTCTAAATATATGGGGGCAGCATGGTAGCTCAGTGGTTAGCACTGCCTCACAGCACCAGGGACCCGGGTTCAATTCCACCCTCGGGTGACTGGCTGTGTGGAGTTTGCACATTCTCCCCATGTCTGCGTGGATTTCCACCAGGTGCTCCGATTTCCTCCTGCAATCCAAAGATGTGCAGGCTAGCTGGATTGGCCATGCTAAGTTGCCCATAGTGTTCAGGAATGTGTAGATTAGGTGGGTTAGCTATGGGAAATGCGGAGTTACAGGGAAAGGGTAGAGGGGTGGGTCTGGGTGGGATGCTCTTCGGAGGATCAGTGTGGATTTGTGGGCCAAAGGGCCTGTTTCCACACTGTAGGGATTCTATGACTCTATATCAGGAACTATTTTTTTAATTGAGAGAATAAAACTGAACAATATAAATAGCAATAGTAGCCAAGACAGATCACATGGGAATGCATGGCACAGATGCCAATGCAGTGAAAGCTGTTGGAGATTCTCCCTGTGGGAATTTTTTTAGAAGTGCGACGTTCATATTATCTATTGAGCACCTTAGCACAGTATCAATCAACAAATAGTAAGCTAACAAGGAACAATGTTTTTGGGCACGGTATGCAAATAAATTAATGAAGTGTGGTTCCTTCAGTTCCTTCACACTGCAACTTGTTCAATTCCTTTACACTGGGTCTTGCTGAACTTTTTTACACTGTGACATATCTGCCTTTTAAATTATAGTGAAACTTGACAGTTTCTCCTGTACTTTGTCACTAATAAATCATACTCTTGCTGCATTCCCAGAACTGCTATGGACTGGGTTGTCTATTTAAATTACTCATATCAACTAACTACCATTTTATGAAGGGTTAAACTGACTTGGATACATTTTATCCTGGCATACATACAAACATAAATGGTGTTGGCTAGTGAACAGTCAACAGTGAAGTATGTCTTCAGAACAACACATGGCTTTAATTTGAAAAGGATAATGTTAAGAACAAAACAGAACACAACGTAAATACAGTCCTGACTTAGTTGGATTATCTACATGGTAATGCAGGACTCTAACTTCCTGAACATACACCATTCATTCAAGTCTTTGTTAATTGCTTCTGAGAATTATTGCTGATATGCACAACACTTCACCCTCACTCACCACATTGTTCCACATTTCCTATCTAAACCTGTTTGAGAACAAATGGTATAAAATTGAGATAAAAATGTTTGGGAAACTAGAGATGGTAAGAAACTGTAACAATTCCCTGTCAGTCTGAAGTGATGGGATACACCCACTAGACATTCCTCCTTGATAGAATTTGTGCCGAATAATTCTCAAATTTGAAACATGAAACAGCATATAGAAAAATACAGTTTAACCAAAGTCAATACAGGATTATGGATGGGCTTCCAAATTGCTAATTTTGTTTCTAATAGTCTTGAGAAGATTTGTAGCTTGGGTTGTGGGTGCTGTGTGGATGCCAGACCAAGTCATAAATTTCGACAGTAATCACCCCAACACCCAAAAACGGAGTTGCGTGAAAACACTATTCAAATGAGCCACAACACACTGCAGCAACCCAGAACTACGCCAGAATGAAGAAGAATACCTCCACCAAGTATTTAGAGACAACAGATACCCAAACAGCAGAGTCCAACAATGCCTGTCATACAAACAATAGGAAGATGCAGTATGCCCTGACACACTTGTCACGTTACCATACATCAAAAACATATCTGAGCTGACCACAAGACTCCTACAGCCACTGGGCATCAGAGTGGCACACAAACCTACATCAACCCTATGCCAACTGCTAACAAGAACCAAAGACCCTTTACCCACTATGGACAGAACCAACATAATATACAAGATTCCATGCAAGGACTGCGACAAACATTACATTGGAGAGACAGGAAGGAAACTGGCTATGAGAATACATGAATACCAATGAGCAACAAAAAGACATGACCAATACTCACTCGACTCCATGCATACAGAGAAGGAGGACCACCAGTTCGATTGGGACAACGTCAGGATCCTAGGACAGGCCAAACAGAGACAAGCACGAGAATTCCTAGAGGCCTGGTTCTCCACTAAGAAGGCCATCAATAAACAGACCCAATATTAGACCCTATATACACACCACTGCAAGGAAAAACCAGAAATGAGGTAATTAACTCCAACAGACCCCAGTGTTTAAATAACAGGTGGGAAAACACAACAGCGCTTCATCGGAGGCTGCACTGATGATGTTACCCAGCAGGGTAATGAAACATCTGCAAACTAATGAACCAGCTTGGCGAGCCATCAAACCACAGCATAATTTTGTTTCTTCAACTCTTATTTCTCAAACACTAAACTATTCACCTCAAGTTTTTTTTTAGTTCTCATACAAATTTTTGAGGCACTGCTGAACCACTCACAGAGTTCAAAAATGAAAATAAAACTGTGGTGAGTCTTCTCGCATTTTCAGTTAAAGCATTTTATCGAGTGAGATTCATGGTGGCCAGTTTGCTATGTGTTGGAGCGATTTATCTCATGCAGTCTTCCACTCTTTACATCGTTACATATGTA